TTTTTTTATTATTATTGAATTGTTTTTTAGTTCTTTAGGTGGTCAGTGAATGCATTCAAATCTGTTTACAATTTGACTTTTGTATTATAATTGAATAAGAAGCTGAACTGCGCTGGGGCCGTAGTGGGGAAGATGAATAAAAAAGGGGGTGACGGATAAATGGGTCGAACTTAGCAGAACTTCCAACGATTGCCGCACTCGTTGCACATGACGAACGTGGTCATCGGCTCGTCGGCGGATCGCGTTTGCAGCTGGTTGTAGGTGCAGTTTCGCTTTTTGCACTTTCCGCACTTCAGCAGATCCGTTTTGGTGCCTTGCACAGTGGCCAGCTGGGCGTCGTTGATTGCCTCCTTGACGAACTTTTCGCGCAGCTTCTTCATCTCGTCGCTGGCCATCTCCTCCGGTGTCATTTTAGCCAGCTGCTTGGCAGAGACGGCGCCGCACATGAAATTGCCACGCAGGCCAGGATTTTTCGGATCTTTCAGATTGGCGACTCTCGATCGAATGCGATTCTTGTACTTCATATCGGTATTCTTGAACTCCGAGTAGATGGCATCCTCCAGCTCGGCGGCCATCTCCTCGGGCTCGGCACAGCCCTCGGGCACCTCGCCAATCTTCAGCGCATTCGTCAGCATCTCACGGCATTTGAGACGAACTGCATCGGTCATGCCCCCGGCTGGGAATGATGTTTGCGCCGACGACGGCTTCTTCTCGTCCCGCTTATCTTTTGTCGAACTACTGCTGCTGGACTTGTCTTTGCCGCTGGAACTCGATTTGCTGGCGCTCGATGTTGACTTTGATGAACTGTTGCTGCTCTCTTTATTGCCTCCAGCTCCGACTGCCTCTTTGGGCGTGGAGTTGCTGTTGGCACTGGCCGCGGGGGGTGCCGGACTGGCCAAGAAACGCTTCCAGTTCTTAATTAAAGTCTTCGCCAGGGCGATCACCTCGTCATCCTTGCTGCTTTTGCGCAGCTCATTCACCGTCATCCCGATGCGTGTCTTGGTCAAAATTTCCAGATTAATGTTGAGGGTTTGCAGTGCTTTGAGCAAATCAAGCGCCTGATCCTGGCCCTGTAACATTCAACGAAATATGGGCACTAATTATAGACAAACTATATATTACCTTAACTACAATTTAATTGCATTTACTCACTGTTCCATCGCTGGAAGTTGAAATTTTGCCAATTTTCTTTTGAATCCGAAACACTTCGTCCTCCACGCTCATTTTTTCGACAGGTTTGAAATCTGGTTAAATGAGAATGTTTGACAGAACAGAGGTTATGTTAATTGTGGTTTAATTAGTTTTAATTTATGCTTTTCAATGTGTTTCCTTAGTTTAGTTTGTCGCAATTGGTCTATTACATTATTTCCCTCCAATAAAATGTTGTTTACTAATTTTTCTTTTATGTATTCTTTAGAGTTATTCTATTCTCGAACTAGTTCCAAATACCGCGGCCGCCGCATATGCTGAACACGTAAAAGTGCCTTTTTGAGTAGATGCTATTAACAGTGCAATGGTAATTTTATGTTGATGCAACAACGGTCACATTGCCCCACTCTGTTAAGTGCCAAAAGCTATTTTTGCAGTGTTAACGTTTCGAACTGGACGCGCTGAAAATTAATGAAATCTTGGCGTGTGTGTTTTAATTAAAACAGTTGTATATAAGTGGTGAGTACTTTTTGTTTTTTAATTGTTTAAAATGATAGAGAGCTGTGAAAAAAAAAAAAAAAAAAAAAAAACAAATTATATTGTCTGCTTTTCTCCGCAAAGTTTTTGAAATGCAACGTTTTAAATGCGTCTATTCTTTTTAATATTCGGAGAGACATGTTTATTTGGA